CTGTGGTGTAGATGGTGCCGCTGACCTACATTCTTTATGGACTACCTGCACACCTATTTTCAGCCGCTCAGCTCTTGTATGGACTCAGATCCTAGGGGAGGGGATACTTTTGTCAAGTAGTGTATTTTCACTCCATAGAATTAATAGTAAAATAATATAAAAGGCTTGTCATTAATAATAAGAGATTATATTACTAAACAATTATGAAATTTTTGTCATCTCTTATATTTTAGTCCGCACAGATGCATCTCTTGTAATATTTTGCCAGACTTCTGCCACCTTTAGGCATTTATTTCTTACAAGTAATACGGATACTAAATCCTGTACTTTCCTGAAGTCTGAATGAAACAGTCGATGATAGCGTACAGGGTGTGAATGTAGATGTAAGTATGAAGTTCGAGAAGACTCAAACCTACATCTATTTTTTTTCTCGGTCATTGATTAAGAATCATCTAATCTATTTACAAGATATGATTAGAATTATGTTCAATAGATCATTAAAATTGAACGTGTGTTCACAAATTAGTTTTCTAGGATTTTGATTTATTTGCTTGACTCTAATATTCAAAACAGGGAAAAAATTGTATCTTTGAAGATATATTAATTGACTAATTGATACCGATGGAACTAATTTCCTGAATGTTAGAACAAGACTTAGCGAGATAGAAAAGTCTTTATTCGATGTTCAAGCTTAGAAAAATCGTTGTATTTATTGCTAATATTAAGTTTTATAATAAGATTATACATAGAATGAAAAGCGAAAAACTTTACTTTAATGAAAATTAATATTTATCAAAAAACAAGGTTTGAGAAAATATTAAGTCTATCTTGTTAATAAAGAACTTTGACAGTACCCAGGATCTTTTAGTGGGAAAGAGTAACGATTTCCAGAAGAAGGACCTTAGCTAGATAGAATTTAATTTGTTTGAGTAAGACTTACATAGAGACCAGTTTCAACTTAGTTCAGATACAGAGAAACGGATTACTATATCGATTAGTGTGTTGTAAATACGAGTTCCTAAATTCGTTGCCTGAAAAGTATACAACATTAAATGTGAGATGTTTTCTTACGTTGTCGACATTCAGCAACAAATTTCACTCAATTTAAATTATATGTTTATTTTCCATTTGCATATTGACTTAAGTATCGTTGTGTTCGATACGTTGTTTCATGCATTGTCGGTTTTTCTTTGTTTCTTTCAGAGCAATATTCTCAATTTCTGACGTAAACGAAAAAAAAAACATGATGAGTTTAATTGTTTTTCATCATGCTTTCGATGGATATCGTAAGGATGTGAATGAAAGAAAAAAGAAAATTTAATCCTAATTGTGAATAAAATCAGAAGAAATCATTTTAATATCAGTCCTTTCTGAAAAACATTGCAAAAAATGCATGAAAACAATCTGTGATTTCGATGAAAGTTTTGGTTTCAATGTTGAGCAAATAAAATCGTCTATCCAATCGCACCAAAAACTATGGACTTCTCTTAATTTCTAGGCAAATTTTCTTACTTTTGGTGAACATTTCATCTGAATGACAGACTGTTTTTTATATATTTTTTTGTAATGTTTATAGAAATGACTGATTTTAAAGTGATTTCGTCTTATATAATATTGAAGAAAAACAAGTTTCCATATATTCTCTTTCGATTGATGGAAATCATAGATCTCTAACTCTTTGTGTTCTCAAGTTATTTACAAAAAACAGTGGCTCACATTTAATTTCTAAATGGACAGTAGATATTGTATCAATACACAAGGATTCTTTTATCTTTTCAACAAAAATCTTTAGCATCAACTTAACGCGATGTAGTAATATGATTTATTTCAATGCATTATTGTGAAGGGTCACTGAATGTTTATTGTCAAATCAAGAGAATAGAATAAAGAAACACAATTACAAAATTAGACAAAGATCTTTGAAGATCGAATATTAATTTTTGAGTTTGAGATGTTTTTATAAACTTATATATATTTTAGTTGAACGAGCGTATAAAGTCTCTTTGTATGTTAGAATTCAAGAAATAATATCTTCTATGGAATATATTATTCAACTTATGAAATAAAAATAAACTTCATTATATTTTCGAGAAATAGATATTTTAAATATCATCACTGAGTTATACTCAGTTCAGTCATTGAGATTATAGTTAGTGACTGATATTCGATATTCAAGACTATGAACAACATTAAGAAACTTGATTCAAATCAAATTTATAGAAAAAAACTACTTGCAGTCAGTTAAGATTTTATCTGTTATAGTTGATCAAAATATTTTCTAAAAATGCTTTATTAACATAACAATAATTGTTTGCGTGATCTTTAATATAAATGGAAATCGATGTTTATGAGAAAAATGAAGTCGTTTACAAGTGAATAATGAATTGACTGACTATAGGTAATTTAGTTCTTCATGAATTTTTTTTGCTTGCCATCTTTCTTGATATTAAGGAGTCAAAAGTTGTTCTTCTCTTTTCTCACGATGAAAACAAAATTTCACGATTGGATTGGTGTATCTTGTTTATTTTCGAGCTTTTCAGTTGAACGATAAACCAAGTATCGACTTTTAAGAATCTGATTAGAGTTTTCAATACTCCAACATCGATTAACTTCGATCAAAGTTTATGCTAGAAAAATATCGTAGCTAAAACGATGAATGAAGAATAAAATTATACGTACTGCTTCTTATTACACGTCTCTTATAAGACAAATGAGTTCCTAAAGCATTAAGATATTGAATGAATTAAATAGATTGGTTGAAAAATTGTTCTAAATACAAACGTTTTCGGTATTGTATAAATATAAAAGCGCGTTAATTCATCATAATAATTGTTATAATTTTTATTCACTAATTTATTTTATAATTTTTTTTCCATATCTTATTTTATTAACATTGTCTGTATTGTTAATATTTGTGTACTTGTTGTCTTTTGCCGAACTGCGATTACTTCATGGATCACAAAGCCATTTATTATCATATTATTATAAGTCATCGATATGACTGGTAAATTATTCATCTTGTCAAATCGTACTACTGTATATAATTTTCAATGAAAATTGTTTTGAAAAAAGTCTCGATTAAGTCTATTTTATATCTGATTAATTCAAGTCTGGACGTCAATTTTCTTGTTATAAATCAATTTGATTCAGAGTATTGTAAAGTAATCGTAGAAACTGAAACTCGCTAACGAGGACTTTAGCCTATGTTCTTTAACCATTCCGTATTTCGATCTTAATCTAATACAGTATATATAATAATATATTCGTTAGACTAATGTTTTCAGAATAATCATTCTTTAACAATTTAATCATTATTGTCATCAGCATTTTACTTTCATTGCCTCTGATATAACTGTTTTCGATAGTTCAACCATGTATTTTAGAAAATTTTACTATAATGTTGAAATGTATAGAGTTCATTTGATTTATTAGCGATGTGACTTACAACGAATCTACGAGCACATAAAATCCTTATATAGTGCAGTGTGAAGTTCAAAACCACTTTGAAATACTACGAATTCTTGTTCGAAATGTCTAGATCGTGGAAAGGCTAAGATTATTGTTTGAATATTCGACTGAGTCCAGAGAGAACAGTTTTTCGCAGAACATGTTTTTGAGTTCGATCTTCTTTGAAACTTTTATCATGAATACAGTTTCTGTGTACGTTGATTCGAACTTTACGAACTTTTGTTCGCATATGACAAGATAGATACTCTCTATTTACTTTTGAATTCATTCATAGATAAGTTTGAACTATTAGTCAACTGAAAGAAATAATATTTTCATCGTTCTATACTAAAAGAACTCATTTGGAAAAATAAATGTTGTGAAGAATTAAAATTATATCAACAGAGTGTATATATCCTCTTTTCTTGGAAATGATCCATTATATTTTGTTTAATATAAAGTGATTCAGGATTTCCCAGATAATAATATACGATGCAATTCGTTAGAATTATTACTAAAACGACGCAAAAAGTGACTCTCAAATTTACTTATGTATCATCCAAATTAACTTTGATTGACATTTTATCATTTAGTTAATTTTCATGTCAATTATGATTATTTCTCATTAAGCATATATTGATCGACTGGTTTTTATGCAATGCTTTTTATTTTATTCTACATCGCCGGTTGGTTTACTGTTAAGGTAAAGGCAATTCATTTCGAGAATATCATTATATCGCTTCATACAATCATAATTTTTCTAATATGTGTGACGACTATGTGCAGTAGTAAATTTTGATGGAAATCATAGTGAGTTTTATATTTGAATTCCAAGTACATCTTGAATTGTTTAATAATTCATCTGTGTGATGCAATATTCTCGTTCTTTTTTGGATGATTCATATTCTTGTGAAGGCAAGAGAAAAAAAGGATAGTTTACTTTAGACTATTTCAAAACCTATGAAAATTTTCTGATAGAATCTTTGATACTAGCTTACATCAAGTGTTTCTGAGACAATACGAACAATTTGAAAATGCTGATGGAAATAAAACTACTATTCATTTATAAGTCGTAAGACGCTTTTCGAACTGTATATTCATTCTATGGACAAGATCTAAAAATAGAAAATATCACAATAATAAATGCATTTGAGTACAATAGCTTTGAAGAAAACCTTCGGATACGGTTATATGTATACAAATTTTGAGCGAAATAATAAGTTTAAAATCAAGAACTACTTAACTATGCAAAGAATGAATAGATCCGTTGATAATTCTTTTATGTTTGCTTAACTATGAGTGTCAAAGAGAGTAATGTTGTTTACATATTTATAGATATTATGTATGCCATTGACTGCTGCGAATCTTCGATCAACTTATATGGCAACTCAAACCGTTCGTCTCTTGGATGCTTTTGAAAACCTAACCGACTCTGAAAAAATGGTGGCGTGCAGTGCTATTTCAGAATCCTTATATGAGTCTTTTGATCAAAATGGATTGTCAAAGGAAGAAATTGCTACAATAAAGGCATATACGTTTGGATGTGGAATTTATCCATCACTCAATGCTGCTCTTCGTAGTGAAAGATTTGAGAATATTCGACCTTGGTTTCCTTATTTGAAACTTCTTCATATGGCTGTCAACAAATTGCCTCCAAAACCAGGAACGTATTGTCGTGGATTAAATGCCAATATAAGTCATCTATACACAATTGGTTCGATAGTGACTTGGGTATGTAAAATAATTGAAAATGTTTTATTTTTATTGTTCAGTAAAGCTAAAATTTATCTTAGTTTTATAAAAATAAGTGGAATTTGTTAGAAGTTTCTCGTAATCAACAGGATTCTAGTGAAGTTGAAGACACAGCTAGGTACTTCCTATAGGTCTCGTTATAAGTCTGATTTTCGATTGTTAACAAATAGAATATATCTTTTTCATTAGCCGATACGTTTTGATTTAATTTATTTTTATTTTTGTAATAGTGGGGTGTCTCATCATTATCCAAGAGAAATGACACATGCATATATTTTGCTATTGATTTTGCTGGTGAATATCCAACTAGTAACTTTTTCGTGATAAAATCGTTCTCAGCAAGAGACATATCCAATTTTTCAATGATTCCTGGTGAAGACGAATCTATTTTATTACCAGCTACACAATTCAAGGTTCTTAGCAACACGATGCATTGGGAACACGAAAATTTGCATGAAATCACTCTTGAAGAAATCGAAACGATTTCAGATGGTAAGTTAATTGTTTCGAAATAGGACATTTTTCACTAACAAAGAACTGAAAGCAAATCAAGAGTAGCATTTGAATCATGAACTAAAGTAATTCTAGAACAACTTAAAAAATGCTTGAAACTATCAATTTAAAAAAATGACAAATTTGATCGAAATATTTCTAATATTAGGGCTTCCTTTAGCAACATCAGATGCATAAAAAAACAACAGCACAAAAATCACAAAGAATCTCGAAACCTATTAATCGAATCAATATCAACGTTATGCAGTACCATAATCGAGAAAAGGTAATGAATCAATAAAAAATTCCATCAGAGTCAATGATAAAAATGAAAAAGTTATTGTCTAATCTTGATCTGGTACATGATAATTTTTAGTCAGTACATTGATCTTACGTGACTTACAGAGAAAATTAGTATTTGTTCATTCAATCGGGAATTATAAATACGATTTTCTTCATTTTTTTAGATTAGAAAAACGTAATAATAATTGTCTTTCTGATTTACTAGGTACATTGAATATTGTTTAGTATCCGCAATAAAATAATTTATCTGAGTCAAATCTTTCAAATTTAGTCGTTTCTATCAATTCTTTGCAATGTAATTTGTTATCAGTATCAATTTTCAAAATGGTTAACTGTTATAAATGAGTTTTAGCTTCTTCTTGAATTTGTACTGAATCCGTCTTAGTTGCTACGTAATACCTCTAATAGATATCAAGGATAACATAGCTCAATACTCAGACAAACTCATACGATGCGGTAGCTAAAGATAGGTATTGTTTTATTTTTTTGAAAACTTAACATTTTTAGTGTGTTTCATACAATGCATGAAGACGCGAAGGTAGTCAACCACTAACCAGTTGTTAGTCAGAGGGAAGTTTATCTTATCGTGTATGTATAATGCTGTTTATTGTTGCGAGCGAGGGGTATATATGTATATATCGGTTCGGGACAAAAGGAATGTGCTAGAAAACACCAGAGAGTCAAAAACTGACAATAGAGTACTAGATAGAACATACAAGATTCATACAGAACTAGACGAATACACGGGAACATACTGGAAACGAAAACATAGATCCATTCACGCATGACAATAGAACGCAAGAAAATATAGATGGAATATATCTATATACGATGACGTCACAACAATAATAGAACGAAAGAGATGATCCATGAGAGATGACACCACCTAACAAAGACTAATGAAATCATCCATATTCGCTGTCGAGAACGGAACAGGCGTCGTTTGTAAGCTTGATCACACATCATACCGCACTAAAGTTAATCTTGTGAAATCATTGTATCTCTGCTTTCATCGAAACTTATGCAGATTGATAGAGTAAAATGTAACGATTTCTATGATTAGGAATTTACCATTTCTAATTATCTGAATATTGCGTTGGATCAGATACTATTTAAATCAAATGACCAGTTAAATTAGTATCTAATTTAAGTTCTATGAATACCGAAAATCAATATTTATCAATATAATTCTGAAAAACTTTTCTTTCTTGCTTTTAAATAGTTATATCTTACCCCTTTTCAACAATCGTTCGACTCATTTCACAACAAAAATTTACTCCAAGTAAAATCGTTGCTGTTTCAAATGTAAGACTCACATTATTCATCATCGAAAAAAAGAAATTCGAAGTAAATATTTTCGTTTATATTTATCATAATTTATGTACACTCGAAGGACGAATAACAATCATTACACAATAACACGGGAATATGTTACGAGATTTTTTATTCATTTTTTATGTAATAAAACATAATGTTTAGTCTTTTCACCATATTTGAATTGATGATCTAAATCAAAATCAGTTGCGGATATACTTATTCTTAAATATGCATATTTTATGACATATGTATACTGATCCTATGATAGAAAAAATAATATAGCATCCAGTTCCATTCATTGAAACTTCGTTTGATTTAAGTCTAAATCTTTATCAATAAATTTATTTGGATTTTTATGTATTGATGAAAAATAATTTCTACAGTGAAAATCATTAAATAAATAATTAGATCCATTAATAATATCGATTAGAAAAAAAACTGTACTTTCTTTTATTTCAAGAATTTCATTTTTCGAAAATTATTCGTATAAATTTCCTTGCTCGATTAAATCAACATAATAAATAAATGTATGAAGCTCAAGTAAAAGATAGAAAATAAATCTATGATCTAAATCAAAACTTATTCAATGACATAATAATAATAGAAAAGCTTTTCGTTGTTGAAGTTGAATTCATTTGTTTTTTTTTGATTGTGTAATTCATGTTGAATGAAAAGAACAGAACAAATAATAGAAAAGCAAATGATAGGCTACAAAAGGGGAAAAGTGAATTGTATGTGATTCATTTATGAACGACCGTGAACATTGCGAAATCCTAGTCTCACTATATCGTGTCATCAATCATGTTAGAAAAAAAATTGAAAGGTAACTCGAAGTATCATTGTAAATTTATGTTAAGGAAATAGTTTCGAACGTAAATTCATTGGATTTTGGAAGGTATACATTGTATAGTTATTATACTATGGCATAAGTATATATTTCATATGCAAAGAGAAACATAATACAACGATCAGAATCAAAGAAATATAAAGATTTATAAGACATTGTTTTTTTTTCGCCGGCACCAGCATACGGCTTCTATTGTTTTATTTGAATAAGTTTGCAAGTGACGAATATTTTCATATTCTTATATGTAACGGGTGTGGATGTGGGTGTGGAGAGTGAGTGTTTGGTATTGGTGTGACTGTGCTTATCAATCACACCTACACCAAAATCCAGCTAAACTTAATTGTAAAAATTTTCGAGAACAGATGTCAAAGTAAAAAACCGCGAAAATACGTAAGTAAAGTTAGCATGGATTATCTTCTATCGAATAGTGTCATTTTTGACGGTGATTGTCAAGCGAAAAATTTGAATTGAATGTGTGTGAGTGAGGATATGGGGTGACTATACATCATTTACGATACTTTTCTTAAACAGTTTTAACTTTTAGGAGCATTGATTCCCCATTCAGGACATAGAATACGCTCATCCACACTCACATCCAATTGTACATCCACATCAGAGTGCACAGCCAACCCAATTTTTTTTTTCTGATAAACCACATCGGAAAAGGTACTATTAGATAGAGAATAATTTTTGTCCCATACGTATTTTAAAATCGCACATAGCAACCTAGTAGACCAATTTTTTTCACTTATGAAGAGTGTCCAATATTTTTATTGTACGTTATTATAATGTAGAAATTAATTCAACATGTTGTGGACTCCTTCTGAATCACCTGACATACTTCGAGTTCGAAAGAAAAAAGATAGATTATTCTGCAGCATGTATGGTGACTTTTTTAACATGAATCATAGTTTAATGCTGTTTGACTGTTTGCTAAGAGAAGCCATATTCTTGTTTTCATTTTGTACAGTAGTGTTCTGTTTATTACAAGTTATAGAGTGGTACGTTTTAAGAGAGATGGAATTTTTTAACTCGTTGTAATAATTCGTCATGTGATTGGGTGAATGGAAAGTTTTGAGACAAAATGTTTGCTCATATTTCGCCCATATGTAAGTGTTTCAGAAGAATCAAAAACTATAAGTGCGATCCAGAATTTTATGCTCTTCATGAGTATGTGCTCAGAAATTTTGTATCCATTATTGCATGTGTACTTCTTCATTTCATCTACATTCACATCCATAGCCAGACCTATGCCTACACCTTTGCCCGCACTCACATTCTCTCGAATAAACTAAAAAAAAGATAAAATTTATTATTGTTCGATTATCTAAGAACTTCCTGTTCGTATAAGAAAATTATTATTGTTTCTCAATTGAAGTCAATTAATATGAGATATAATCAATGAATTTATGCTGATTTGAATCAATTATAAACCATGCTTCATGAAGATCTTTTCTTCTCAAGAAATAATTTAAAACTTCTCAAGGGCGAACAAACAAGTATTCATGCTAAGTGAAACACTGATCATAAAAATTGATAAATTGATAAAATTCTATTGTCGTTTATATCAAAGACTATATATATAGATACATATATAACAAAAATAAAACTAAAAAAAGTTTTGTTTTGGCTGTTTTCGAATGTCCAATCATTGAATACTAAAGACATTTGTAAACACCAAATAATCTGGCACAGTTAATTATCTATCCAAAACATGAAGCGATCTGATTGGATATCTGTTCATAAATGCTTTAAGCTAATTTACTATTTAAACGTTTTATAGGCTTGTTTTGTGAGATTTTTTGAGGTATTAATGGCATACAACATATATTGTTGGCCATGTCTTGACTAAGTTTCTTTTTTGGCATGGAAACGTCAATATTTGATATCGATTCATTGAAAAAAAGTTCTAGAAAAAAAAAGAAATAAAATAAGATAGTAAAATATTCTATTTGATGCAAACAAGATATACATACCATTCGAAAAGTTCATATATAAATAAGACGATTGATGAATTTTTTGATTTTTATAGTAAATAATTACACTTGCCTTTACATTATTTACACATAGATATGGAAAAGGTGGCATATTAAAATAAACAACATTGCCATTTAAGATAATTTTTTTTATTTCATGAGACCATTGAGTTGTTTGTTCACAAATCATAATAGATAAATCATCTTTAAGAAAACGACCTTTAAGAACAATAAATATCATTGATTGACTATTAATTGGACCATATTTTGGACTGATATGTTCAACAGAAACATCACCATAATCTATAAAAATAAAATAAATTTTTATTGTTTTGAAAAATAAAAAAGAATAATGTTATTCTTACGCTCTGTCATTATAGAAGAATATTTTTGATTTATATCATCTCGTTGAAAATTACCATATTTATCACGATAAATGCGTGTAAAACGAAGCATTGATTGATAAAGTTTTCGTGATCGAATTAGCTCTTTAGTAATAATATCATCTTGTTTACTTTTAATGAGTTCAATCATAAAACTATTCAAAAAAATATATAAGTTAAAATTTTAAATAAAATAAAATAGTCTATTTAGGATTAACTTACGTTTTATAACCATTGTTAAAATCTTGATCCGTTAAACGAAAATACAATTGATTTAATGGACCATCTTTGAAAATTAATGCTTGATCATCGTATAAGAATTTACTAGTTTTATTATCAATAGAATAGAGATGTGGTTGTTTTTCAATATCGACAAGAGCAACTTCAATAATATTTATATCTGATTGGCAAGCCCATATCTGAGGTACCTAAAATATAAGAAAAAAATTTGTTTTAATCTATTTAGAGATTATTAATTGATAATTTACATATATAGCAGGGTAATCTAGTTCAGCACCTTCGTCACATCGTAAATAATGGGAAGAAGTTTTACTTTCATTCTGTGTTCGAGGACGAAATTTCGAACGTGGTTGACATTTTATTTGAATTTTTTCTGATTTTATAATGCCAAATGGAAGAACTAAAATAAGAAAATTTCAAAATAATTCAAATAAATAATTAAAAAAGATAAATCTTACATTTTTGTTGACACTCTAAATCATTCGACACTTGTATAGGATCACATTGTATCAAAGTATTTAGCTCTATAAAACAAATTAGAAATTTCTGGAATTATATTTTTAAATTTATTTTAAAATCTAAACATACCTGATATAAAATCAATTGGAATCACAGTTGGCGATTGTATTGGATCAACTAAAATAATATTTAATAAAATAAATAAATAAATATTCTTGTTATAAACAAATCACAATTGACATACATGATGTTATATCATCGAATATCGTTGGGTTATTGCACAATTCATCAATATCTTGAGCAATACTTTCTGGAAGTATTGCATCTGAAATAAGTAATATGAAAATGTATTAGATTAAAAAAGCTTTTTTTTTAATAACACTCACTGTCAATAGTATTCGATCGAGCGAATGAATTATTAGTTTGAAATAGATTATGAGACGATACAAACATGTCTAATAAATATGTAACATGTGCAACAAGAAAAAAAAAACAAGCATTTCAAATTACTTGATTGCAAATGATTTGACATAGTGCTTTTTATATCGTGTTGATATATGTTTTGCAATTGTTGTTCAGTTTTTATATCGATATGATTATTCGATATTGGTATCATATTAACAGATTGATTTATTTTAGTTTTTTCGTGCAGCAAATCTACACGTAGGCAATAATTCAATTTATCTCACGTTTTATAGATAAAGGTTTATATTATAAATGCAATATTTCAGACGCTTTTATATATGGTTAAACGACACAGTGATGCTTTCGCATTGACGTCATATGAAAAATAAAATAAAAAAGGATTCTGTTCTCTTTCCATGACGCATGTCCCCAATAAAACGTAGGTGAGATTTTTTTTTGTCCCATGACATGCAACACAATGAGTAATTACGAACAGCCGATACACAATATTTCTTTTACATATGCATTAGTTTTAAGCCTTCCATTATAAGCCTTGTTTTATGATAACTAATTATCATTTAAGCTCCACATATACTGAATTCAATCAATGACTGAGAAAACCAGTATTTGAGCAACTATGACTAATGAATATTTAATGTTTGTTATAAAAAATCGCTTATTGGTAAAGTCTTCAGTAAATATTAAATCTTTCAAAAAGACGTCATGACAAATAATAGCTGCCATATATAAGCTCTGAATAAGAACACATAATCAAAGAGAATGATCTCGACTCTTACCAAGTCGAATGCTCAACCATGGAGCATCGCGTCCATTTTGTTTTACTGAGAAGAAAATGACAAAATCATAGTATTGAAATAAATTAATTATATTTCATATTTACTGGATAATGTTAATGCATCACCATAAGAAGCGTATAGTTGTTCAGCATCTTCATCAACATAGAAATTTATGTCGAACTTAGAAAATAATCTTTCCTTCAAGTTCTAAAGATATTAAATTTGAAATAAAAACTATGATAATACCCTTAACGTCCTTGTAAAAAAAATATATTCATTTAATATTCTATATACAGTATTGAAAAAACGTATTTTTTTTCATTCATATATATTCAACGAATTCATAGCTAATGCAAGATCCTCAAAGGAAAAATAAAACTACCGACTCTTTGAAAGAACAAATGCTTGTCAACACCACTATGAAAACATTATTTCTACACTTTTATTTTTTTCGAAAAATCAGTCGTCTTCTATTTTTCGAAATTTTTTACAAAATGCATTTTTTTTAAAAGGAACATCGAGGATAAGCGGTCAATCATTAAACAGGAAAAACTCAAATTACATTTAGAAACTCCAAATGCTTATATTTGACCAAGAACCATAATATATTGCGATAGCGATGCCATTGTATGTTGAATGACTTTTGGTTGTTGAAAAGAATACTTTGGCTTTGTCTTAACATACAAAAATAGTAAAACGTTCTAACATCGAAGAAACCGTATCACCACTAAAAGGACGACCTAACATTTGAATAATTGATTCACTAGTACTTCAACGACTGATGGTAAGACGGCCAACAATATCTATTAAAGAACCAGATTTTAGTTCCTTGTTGAAAGTTCGAAATGAACCCTTCATGAAAAAATATGATATCAAATATAGTCATGCACATAGAAATAAATAGTGACATAATATGATAACACGAAAGTATGTAAATTGAATGCTGATGATGTAGCCACGTTTTCGTCGACTAATAGACCGTTGTTTTTCAGAATAATTTCACTTTCATTAGAAAAGATCATTTTGTCACTATCCATATGCCCTGCTTGAAGACCCGCTGCACTAGTTTCATCGACAAATGTATCAAAACCTTCAAGAGTAGCTGATTTACGATGATCATATATTGCACCATTAGTACGAATATTATATTCATTCATTACAGCAGACTTAAGTAGTGTGTGAACAGTAGTTTTACCGAATGCTAGAAAAAGTTCAAAGGCATTGATTATGAATGTATGCAAAAAAGTCAACGATTTGAAAGAGTAATTAATAATTGATAGAAATTTGTAGGAGCTGGATTACCTCATGCCTTTTATCGATAAATATAAGAAGACTTTAAGTAAGATGAGCGGATGCCAATTAATTCATACGAATAATCAATAAAATCAATATCATACCATTTAGAATGAGAAAATACTTGGGGCATACCCAAAAGTAGTGACGTCGATACTGTGATTTCTTACAGAACCTTGAGAAAAAATTTTCTTTGTGGGTGTGGCTGTGTGGCAGTGGATGTTTGAAAAGAGAAGGATGATAAACACACCCACCCCCATACCCTGGGTGAATCCGACGTGGAAAAATTTCAATCTGGTGATAGCTTCACCAATATATAGTAATGATACAAAAAAAACATTATAAAAATTTAATGCTTCTACAATCTGAGAGAAAAATTGCTTGATACTCAATAGCATAAAAGCTATATACAGAGACTGTATTTGTGAAGGACATACTTTTGCTCGTTGTACGCCTGCGAAATCTTGCTCCTCCACTATCACATGGAAACTGAAGCGTAGTGACGTTATGCTATAGGTAACAGCAAAGCATTATTATGCTCATATATACAAAGACAGTTACCTTGTATTTTGCTCGTTCATCCATATACATAATATACATGAATAGTATACATACATAAGATACATACTTTTGGTTGTGAAAAAAATTACCTTCATTTTGCTTGCTATATTCCACGTGACTCGCAAAGATTAATTCAAGGTAATTAACAATCAATCGAACGGTTGAAAAAAGTGCATTAAAGTACAACTTCATTTGTTTTTCTTCTCACTTATCGCACATCATAGACAAATAGCTACGCTTCATTAGTAAAAATTTACTGATAGATAGTATAGTCTTGAGGAAACGGAACCTCAACTATTCCTTTACGAGTGAGTAGGAAAAATAATTTTTCGCCACAGTTTGGTTCCAGCTCAAATATACGTACGGAACTAGCTTCAGATGTTGAGATTGATGCGAGAAACAGGTACAGTCAACACCATTCATGTTAACAAAACTAAGGCTAAAAATCAACATATCGATGATTTTCATTGATTTTTTATTAGAAACAAGTAACATCAATTCTGAGATGTAATCGGTTGTGTACAATTTTTTACTAAGCACCTAGAATCTATTTTTCTAAGTAATTAATTTTCATCAATAGTTTATGATTTGTTTCTCGTCTAACATCACTTGAGGTATTGATTACAATGTAATAGAATTGATTAAATTTCCGTATCGATTATCATCATTGAACTTGGAATCGTCAAAAAAACAGCAAATACTAGGGATGTTGCATTAGAACTAACATTGGTATCAATCAGTAAGTTTAATGCTAAAGAATTATTGGAATTAGAGTCAATTAATGTCTTGATGTTAATATTCATTTAGCATTGTAATTAGTCCCAATACATCTATTCCGTGTAAGTTATGGACTGCTATTTCTAACTCTTCAAGGCCAATCCAGAAGTGCTTATGACTCTTCAAGGACTACTCAGAAAGGAGAGTGCTCCGAGATCTTCACGGGGTAACCAGACGTATGATGTCTTACTTGAATTTCTAAAAACTCTTTTAGCTTTTCGTACATAAAGATATAGGAGCCAGTTCATATAAGTCATGACTTGCCACAAAAAGACCTTGCTCAATCGAGGTCGTCAGATTTTGCTCAATTTAACATATGAATCACCTAATATACACAAGAAAACACATTCTTGGTAACTTTGATGCTTGAAACTTTTGATTGGAACGAGTTAAAGGTCTGAGATTTTTATTATAGATAGGGAACTTAAGGATCTATCTTTTCTAAAAATTTCAACTACCTAGATTGTTCTGCTTGGACAGGGTAGTCCTCTCAAAAATGGATTTTTAATGGAAATAGGCGTTTTGAGGATAGGCTATCTGCCAAGAAATGGATTTGTTTGGGAGCTGATCCATAAAAGTTGAAATTACACTCTCTGAGCTACAACTATATAAAAAAATAGCATGGAATCTCGGAGAATGGTCCTAGGGCAGCTCTCGAAAAATACCAAAACAATTGAATCCTTTTCTATAGGAAGTGTTTTCAAGTTCAATTAAAAGTTACGTGGAGAGCTTCGTCGTAAGAAATGAATTCTGCCTAGTAAAAATCAGCATATAGCCCTCTATTAACTTTCATTAAAAAAAATACCCTTTCAAAATGAAAAAAAATTCTTTTTTAAAGACTTTGCCGCACTCCTCCAGGCCTCTTCAGATAAAATTTTATTATCTGAGTCCCTCTACTCCTTAAGAGAATTAAAAAAAAAAAATTTTTTTCATTTTGAAAGGATATTTTTATGTAAGATAATAGACGACCAATATGCTGGTTTTTATTAGGTAGAATTTGTCGCATATGATCAAGCTATTCGAGTAATATCTAAGTGAACGTGGGTACATTTACTATAGGAAAGAGCTCAGTTTTTGGTATTTTTCAGTAACTCTCCTAAGATCGTTCTTTGAAATTCCGCGTTAATTTTTTATAGGATTATAGCCCAGAGAGAATACTTGCTACTTTTACCGATCTGCTTCAAAAGAAATTCATTAGTTGGTACATAGCCTATCCTGAAAACTCCAATTTTCATCAAATACCATTTTTTGAGAGGATTGCTCGGTTCAAACGAAACAATGTAGACGACTGAAATTTTCAGAAGAGATTTATCTCTGAGTATTCTATCTACAATAAAAGTTTTAGACCTATAACACGTTGCAATCAAAAGTTGCCAAGAATCTAGTTTTTTTGCATATATGGGATACTTCATAAAATTTTAACTGTTCAATATTTTGATACAAAAATGCTGTGATAAATAGAAATCACAGAGATATACGTCTATAGAAAGTTTCAGCTCAATCAGCCTATCAGTTCCCGAGATATGACCACATTAAAATCTCTATTATTGGACTAGTCACTTTTAGGATTTCCTGAAACGCTCATAAAATATCGAGGATTCAATACTTTTTAAAACTACTGGCGTCGAAATTTATAAGACTCTTCCCTCTACAACATATATTAGATTGAGCAAAGTTTCTAAGTAGCAGGTCGTGACTTTTATAGATTGACTCATATGATAGTATACAATCCCCTTTTTTTTATAGAGTACGAGTTTTGCTGGTTTGATAGGTGTTTTAGAATTACCATGTTGTTATATTTTGTATTATACTCTCCTCTTTTTCTGTTGGTTGCTCGTCTGGCGGGTCTTTTTAATCTTCAGAATTATCACGATCAAATGCATAGGATAAAGTCATGCTTGAAGGGTATGTACTGTTATTATAAGTCTGAAGATCAAGACGTTTCACACCTTATAACAAAGGTGATATATAGTATATATATTAGCATGATAATTCTAAAGATGCCCAAGAGTCGTATCCTTAAAAAAAACGGAAATTTTTCTATACATATGACCATGATGATGCTAAAAACCCACAAGTCCTGCATTTTACTTTGACATCGTATATTTGTTTTTTCTTGTAAATTCAGATTGAAATCAAAAGAACGTTTGTATGACGACGAATCTATCAATGATTTAGTTCATAATGCGCGAAATCGCTAACTAATCTATGAAATTACCAAAATGTTTTGTTTTAAGATTGTGAAGCTCTGAGAAGTCTGTTAAACATGAAAAATGTCTAGGAAAATTATGAAACAATGTTTGATTGTTTAATCCTAACATTGTTCGATGCAAATTGCGAATGTTATGAAGCTTGTTAATAAACGAATTGTTTTGGAGTATAACTTCTACAAGTTTTTAGATGCACTCTATGGAAGATGATTAGTTTCATGATTTGACGCATTGAATCGAATCGTTGGAAAATGTCTACTGTCCGATATATGATGCGAAGCATATTAATTCTTTTTAGAAAATTTCGCCACAGAACTTTTAGACTGTGCTTGATTTTTACATTGATTATTTTTATCCTTTTGATAACTCACCATGATAACACTGATATAAATTATCTTTTACATATCTCTCGTTCAATTTCTCGTATTCAAAAGTATGGAAGCTGGAACTCTATACCGGATATGAAGAGTCGTAAATCTCTCAGGGTGCTAGTATTCACTAGCGATAACAGGCCGCTAGATTATTCTAATAGCAGTGCCTTTATTCGAGCATCAGTCATAATTAATTATCATTATGCCGTGCTGCATGGATATGACTTCAAATATTTTTTCGTAAAGTATAAATCGAATATAAGCATCACGCCTAAAAATGGTGCGTCTTGCTACAATTCAGTGTTAAATCAAGAAAGAGCAGCACCCTGGGCAAAATTACAGGTGGTTTGGCATGTCTTGAATAACTATAGCAGCCAATATGATTGGTTTCTCTATTTAGACTCTGATGCAATTATCAATAATCAATCACTGAGTCTTGATAAGTACATGGAAAGCGTCCCATACATAGTTTCCAGTGATCGAGGATGCCATTTTTTACACACCAAAAATTGTGATATCGCATTCATGCACGACATACCATTCACGACAAATTTTCCGAATGCCGGTGTTTTCTTGTTTCGTGCAATTGTTGCGTCAAACAATCCTTACAGGAATATAGTGGCCAATCTGTTCCAGTTATGGTGGCATCATAATAATCCTACCAAAAATTTTCATCATACTTATGAGCAACTATCGTTATGGTATATAGTTTACCACGAAGACTTTGAGAAACATATTTATCGCAATGAAAGTAATATGAACTTATACGCAATATCAAAATGGCTGAAACTACGACGATATGTCAGTATCATAGATGATAATTCAATGATACAGAGTACAAGTCAGTTTATTGAGCACATAGCGAGTTTTCGTCAAACACGCTATGATGACATGATAATGGCACTCAAGCGTCTATTCAAAAATATAACTGAGGTTGAATTTCTC